CTCTATGTCTTCTCAGAGGTGTCGGAAGGCTTTATCTATATTTTTCTATCCTTTCTCTGTCTCTGTGCGCAGTCGATCTACTTTCTCTTCTAGGGAGGCTATATCAGGGGTATCCTTGATTTTAGCGAGCGCGAGTAACGCGCTCTTGAGGGCTTTGCTTAGTTGCTTTCTATCGATCTCTTTCTCTCTTTCTACGACTTGCAATGTATCGCTGAGCTGCTTCATGATTTCTAGGACATGCTCTCAGAGGTTGGTGGGCCCAGTTACCTCCTGGGACCAGGACGTCGCCATGTCTTACGGCCGCGCTGGGCGGTGCGGCTTCCGAGAAAGCAGTTTCCGGTCTTTAGGAGATGTATATGAACACAATTGAGCTCTTTTATTCCAAAGGTGAGAGTTCTCGCTGTTGTTGTGCTTTTATGTTGGCTAATGTTGGCCAACATCCGGTCTGGTAAGGCAACAGAATGGTGCCTATCACGTGTCATGGGGAAGACCCCGTGACAGCCGGGCCTCGAAGCAGACTAATACAGGGCTAGCCAGAAATAAGGTGAATAGGACCGAACGAAAAGCACAACAACAGCGAGAACTCTCACCTTTGGAATAAAGAGCTCAATTGTGTTCACATACATCTCCTGAAGACCGGAAACTGCTTTCTCGGAAGCCGCACCGCCCAGCGCGGCTGTAAGACATGGCGACGCCCTGGTCCCAGGAGGTAACCGGGCCAACCAACCTCCGAGAGCGTGTCCTAGAAATCACGAAGCAGCTCAGCGATACATTGCAAGTCGTAGAAAGAGAGAAAGAGATTGATAGAAAGCAACTAAGCAAAGCCCTCAAGAGCGCGTTACTCGCGCTCGCCAAAATCAAGGACACCCCTGACGTAGCCTCCCTAGAAGAGAAGGTAGATCGACTGCGCACAGAGATAGTGAAAGGATGGAAAAGCATAGATGAAGCCTTCCGACACCTCCGAGAAGACATAGAGGCAACAAAGGCAAATACACAAGCAGCAGTAACAGTGGGTAAAGAAGCGAAGACAGCGGCGATTGAGGCACTTGACATAGGCAGGACGGTACTCAGAAATAAAGGGACACACCAGCAGCAGGCTATGGCAAGCTATGCTGCCGTGGCAGCGAAAGGAGCAACGGCAATAAGTACATATAGTCCATAAAACACCAGACCTCCTGCTTAAACGCATCGTGAGATCATCGTGAATATTAGAAATGCACAAACGATCCACCACCTGCGTTCCATGAACCCACGCAACCTGAAAGCCCATGTCGAACAAGCCATAGCCTAAGGCGGAGTAACCAACGCAAAGGTCATGTCTGTAAACCAACTCATGAGCGGAGACATTAGTATAAAAACGGTTACACCGGGCGAAGCACAGACACTCAGACAGTCCGCCCAGGAATGGGTCCCTAGGATAGGGAACGGAATGTCAATACACAGCCAGACGTACAGTGTGCTTGTACACAGCGTATATACCAAAGACATGGATATGGACAGACTGGACGAAATCAACGCCGCTATCTTGAGTGAAAACAAACCCTTTATCCCAACAGCAGAAATCAAATACATCGGATGGCTCAGTCGGAAGGCACAGACCAAGAGGATGTCCACGCTGGTAATCGAGTTTACTAAGCCAGAGGATGCGAATAAGATCATTGATGAAGGGTTAATATAGCAGGGGTGCCACCATGACACCGAGAGATACGAACGATAATGCCGCCTGAAGCAATGCTTCAACTGCCAGAAATACGGCTATATAGGAACCTAATGCAAAGCCATAACAGCATGTGGCCACTGCGCGCAAGAACACAACTCCCGGGACTGCCCTTCGAAAGCCGATATACCTAAGAAGTGCGCAGGCTGCAATGGCCCACACGAGTCCTGGAACCGCCACTGCAAGATCAGGAAGGAACAGCTTGCCAGGACCAAGGCGGCGTACGACAACCGACCCAAGTACCACCCGGTACTTGAGAGCCCGAAGCCAGTAGCCCAGGTTGGAAACCCCACAACCGGAATGAAGAGACAAAGGTCAACGAGGGACCTGACCGCCTCCCAAGCAGGCCGGGCCTCGAAGCAGACTAATACAGGGCTGGCCAGAAACGAGGTGAACAGGGAGAACGAATCGCCGGCAAGCAGACAGAGGCCGCAACGCGTGATACAGCCATCACGTAAGGCGCTGGAGGCGCGAGACACCAATGAAATCACCACTATAGAAATAGAGGACGACATGGATATGA